CCTCACCACCAGATTTTGTTGAAACAAATACTTTTCCTTTGTTTTCAGGCAGATTATTAAATCTAAAATGATGATATCTCGGATCTGGAATTTTATCTGGAGTGATTGCAGTAAAAGTAACATCTTCATAATATGGTTTTGAACAATCTGCTATTTTCTTATAGAAGTTTTGAACTAATTAGTATTTTGGTTCATTAATAAAATGACCAACAAGTATCAGGTCATTACATCATATGAAACGCTCACTGTTTTTCTTTTTTCCTTCTTTCAGATCATAATACTTATCCCCAAGAAAGAGGTTTAACAGCATATTGGTTTTACCAGTATTTGATCTCCCAGATACCACAATATAAAATGGCCACTTTGGAGCATCTTCATTGTCTAAAGATTTCTTTGGCAGTTTAATTTCATCAACATGATATACATAAAAATATTTCATTCTAATTCAACTATATATCTAAGATTTTTTTTTCTTGACAGAAGAGATCAGTGTTATAAATTATAATGCACACGTGGTTTTTTCATTTTGATACTAATTCAACTATATCTCTAAGATTTTTTAGCCATGCTAGCTTTGCTATTCTTGGCAAAAGTGATTGTGTTTAGAAAAAAAACACACACATGACTTTATTTCAAGGAACACAACTACAGGATTAACTATTTTCAAAGCTGGTATTTTTCACTATATAATTGTATAAGATTTTCACAAGATCCTCAAAAATCAAAAAGGATATTAATTATATCTCACAGGATAGTTTGCCGGAAAATCAGGTAATGGTGTCAAATAAAACCAATTCCTAGGACTAATCTAAATAAATTGGAATGCTTTTGTCAATATGCCATCGAACACTGAAGAATTTTCAATCATTACTGAGGCTGAGAAAAAAAGGTGGGTTATGGGTTGTTTCCCAGAAGACTTCTACCATGGTGCAATAGAGAGAAAAAGAAGATCCTAGAAAATATCAAATTTTTAACTGATCAGGATTTCGTAGAGGGTGTTGTTGGAAGTACATGACATAAAGAGTATTGTTGGGATTACTGAATCTATACTTTTTTTTCACACTACAAATAGGTTAAAAGATCCAAACCTAGCTTCGAAATCATTAATGTTAACCATACTTCCCTACAACTAATACAACTAACAAACTCGACATTCGATATATTTTTATTGATTATAAATTCCTGCAGAGATTACATGTGATTCTAATAAAGAACAATACATGAGATTTTAATTGATTTTAATCAAGAACTATTGCTCAATCGTATAGTATCTAAACCCATCCACTCCCTCAAGTGATTGTTGTTGCTGGTTTTTTAATGCAAATATCTCAATACCATTTTGAAACAACGTGTAGTTGGAAACCCAAGATATGAAGTAAGTTCCAAACCCATTATATTTAGTGATGTTAGCCATTTAAAAATCCTTAGCCGGCTAAGCTGTTTACTACCTAAATTGGTAATTTGATTTCTATAACAAGAAAGTAATGCAGAAATCTATTACCAAATTTAGAAATTATGCATGCAGATTATTAGCCGGCTAACATCACTAGTTATATTGTATAGGTGTTTCATCAATGTTATTAGAAATATCTCTAAGAACGATGCCATTTGGAATTTGGATGTTGTTTCCTTGATCATCCACAAAATAAACCCTTGCGACGTTATTGTTTATTCTTTCGATCCTCATATTGATGTTGGTGGTAAATCTGACACCACTTATGTTGTTATTCTTATAAGAAAAAGATCCTCTAAACTTCATTTCATCTGTTAGTGACATTATTTTATATAATAGTTATGTAAAAATAGTTGTATCAGTATGAGAGTGTTATGAGATTAAGTTCTTTTTTGGGGGTTAATGAGTAATTTTGGAATGTTTTTATAATAAATCTAGTTTTTTTGTTAAAGATGCCAAATTAGGATACTGTATTTGTAATTACACCATATGCGGATGATTTCCGGGTAGGTTACACCTTTATCCCTGTGTTCAGAGGGATACAGCTTTAGCCTGGCGAGGGATAAATATAAATACACGGATATATCTCTGATCACCTGGTCCGTAGATCTTGAGTGAATTATCCGACCGATACCCAAAGATCGATAAGATTGATAAGGGGGGATATCCCTCTTATATGATTTCCCAGGCTGAGGCTTTATCCCTACGAACTGAGGGATAAAGGTGTAACCTTTCGGAAATTGTCCGCATGGGCTGTGTAATTAGCTAATTTGTTACACGTATCACATATCAGGGGTGGAACCCATCGCGTTTTAACTAGCATAGCAGGCTTAAATTTGATTGGTTGATTGACAAGGTACATAATCAATAGAGTTCATTATTAAATTTTTTGCCATCTGACTTTAAACCCTTTTCTGGCCACCAAAAATTATTTCTGGTTTATAAGACACATACCAATAAAAAGCTTAGGTTCTACTTAATATATTTTCAAAGTAATTCGAAAAATGACAAGGTAATTCAGAAGTTAGATAAGAAGAACTTTCAAGCATTCACAGAAAAACGGCTAAACTTTTTTGAATTATTTATAATTTATTTTTTTTTTTATCTATAAGATTTTTTATTCTTGGTAAAAGTGATCGGCGTGATTTTTATTCTTCAAGTATTGACAAGGAATTCTTTATTTATGATACAAATGAGATACATGATATAAGTGAAATCTTATAATTATATTCGTTAAAGGTAGCTTGGTTATAAATATTGGATGTTTTATATATTATTTTACTATATATTTTATAGGACACCTCCCAAGCTGTATTTAAAATTACATGCTTGCAGTATGCTTAACTGAATTTTCAACACTGAAGAAGACTGGTCATAAAGCAGATGATGCAGTATATACAAATAATAATGATTCTTATGAGATTGGAATTCTAAAAGCTTCTTATGCTCCTCTTAGGAAGGATCTAACAAAAAATGCTGACTTTTTTTTGTAGGCTTGTAAAATAGTTAAAAATACACATTTAATAAAGCTCTTGTGTCAAGTTTTTCTTATAAAAATTATTTTTTCAATGAAAGATCTGCATGATTTTAGCCAATAATATTTGTTTTGATTTTAGATGTACTTAGAAACTCAGGATTTTATTTAAATACAATAAAAATGGTTAGAAGCAAATGGTTGGCTTGGAGCAATATTATTGGTCCTCACTCACATGTTTATTCACCTAGGAGATTAATATAAGATAGTCTGATATATTCAATGTTGATGATTACCAGCATTGACATATGACAAGGTAGGTCTATGACAGGTCATAAGTCATAGGCTATTCTGTAATAACCTTCCTTATTTGGAAACAAATGTTTACCTCTTTGATAAAGCCTCACCTTTTGGAGATATGTTAGGAATGCTTCTCCTTATTAACATTAACTCTGGGTATTGAATGGGTAACTCTAAAATTGAAAGATTGGCTCTGTGATTATATTTATTTATCCCAACTAAATATGTGCTTCATATACTATTATTTGTCCAAAAAAAATTTTTTATAAGCTCACATTTTAGAGATGATGTTCCCTATCTATTTTATTTACAAAAAATTTCTTAAAACTTAAAATTAAAAGACTTTTGATTGTTTTTAGTTAATTGTGACCATAAAGATGAATTTGAATTTAAAGTTTTTTCTTTGTCATCATCATCATCATCATCCTCTATCCTTTTACCATTGTTTGTTATTATTGATGATAATGATAATTGATTAGGATAATATTTTTTTAATTTTTCATAGAAAATATCATAAACCTGTTCAAGTGATGATGACCAAATTGATTTAGAAAATCCTGATACTTGATCAGGTTTGTCATGTAAAAATTTTAAAACATTTTTTAAATTATAGGTTCCAACAAAATTTTGTGTCTATTTAATTTTTTTGAAAAAATTTTTTTTTAAGATTTAAAAATATAATAAAAGTCACATTGAAAACACCAAAACAAATAGATAAACTCTTACAATTGCAATAGAATCATCCAAATTCAGAACAGAATGCCACCAACCATTTGGCACAAAAATAATTTCACCAGCTTTACAAATTCCCTCTAGTGGACAAGGTTTTGATTTCAATGCCATTTTATAGAAATTTAAATACCATTCCATCAATGATATTGGTGATGTTACTTCAGCTTCATATTATTATTATTATTATTATTATTATTATTATTATTATTATTATTATTATTATTATTATTATTATTATTATTATT